TTAAATAGGTAATGTAGATTCAAATTTGTACAAATCATGATCCCCTGGAGAATAGAGGGGCCATAACAGGGGATCATACAAAGGAATACAAAGGATATATCAATCAAAATTTTCTTCTTAAGAACAGCAAAGCCATTATTTGTCATATTAATTCAAAAGCATCCCTATGAAGTTTAGATTCAAGTTATTTCAAATACCCCCCCCCCCCCCCCCCCCCCAACCAGTTTTATATTTAAACTTTTCAAGACTGAACTGATTTCTGCTTTTTCCTAGCCAGAGTGCTCAAGTGAGCGATGTGGCCTCTGGGCCTCTTGTACATAGTACTGCGGATATCCTGTTAATTAAATATCTTTGGAGCGAATTGAATTGATAGTGTGGTTAAAAAATATTTGCTTAAAATGTAATACATTACAGGATTTTCTCTGCTATAATATATAAAGTGTATAGTTATAGAGAAAACAAATTTCTTCCTTCACTGTAACTTTATGTTTGCCATTAGATATGATTAAGAGCCCCCCCCCCCCCCCCCCCCCAAAAAAAAAAAATCGGTTACTTAATATTTCTAGTATATTTTAATTAACATTTAAAAAGAAGTTAATGTGTTTAGTAGCACAAAAATTGCAGTCTCAAAACAACATGCATCAAAAAAGTTATTAAACAATAGTAGTTCAAAATATACACGTGTTGGCGGTGGTATTTTAAATTGGCAGAGAGTATGTTTCAAATTCAAGTGTTAATGCCCAATGTATTTTATTTATTTATATTTTTTTTTTTATCGAAATGTTGGAATCAAATCTAAAAATGATTAAAAATAAATGTTAAAAATTGTTGGAAATACTAGCACTTCGTCTTCGATGTGACGAGACTTACACACCTGCACAGTGTTGAATGATTTTGATTGACAGGACAAGCACATGGACTTCATTTGAACTTGAAGCAGGAAAATTAAAAGAAAAACGAGTATGACTGTCAAACAAATGGATTTGTGGATTAAAAAAAGTTACTTCCATTGCCTGATAAATTTAGAAAAAAAGAATTTGTTGTTTGATATAGGTACAAACATTTGGTGAAGCCTGGAAAGGGGGGGGGGGGGCAAAAACGGAATCTCTCTCTCTCTCTCTCATTTGTCTGTGAATATGCCTCTTTGTATTATGTTGTCTGAGTATAATCACGGGGAAAATGTCTACAGGTAGATGTAGAAGTCTTCTCAATAAATCATCATAAAAAATAGAAATGACACATTAATATATTATTGCATTAAGAATTTAAAATGCAAGTGTATTAATGGAAATACGTCCACAGAACTTTGTTAATTTTTTTCATTATTTTACACGGAATTGCCTTGGCACGGAAATATATGAATGGATGTTACAACCGTTGTAATTCATTCTTTAAGTCAGAAGTTTTCTCTTATTTGTAATGGTTATTTATATCAAATAAGAATAGACATATTTATTTTCCAACAAAAATAATTTATCTTTTATACTACAGCGTTCGGTAACAATTACAATGTTTTACAGTGATAAAAATTGTGTGATTAAAAAGTTGAATTTAAACATCAAACAAGAAAGATACTCAATGTGCATGTATCGTCTTTCTTAAGAAAATTTGTAGCATTTATTTATTTAATCATTGATTTGTTTATTTATCTATAATTTATTTTTTGACACCTGACATTAGAATACAATAGAATGGTTTCAATGCAAGGAAAAGATCAGAAGCATTCCGAATAAATCGTTCATCTTGCGTTCACTGTTTGTTCACCATTCACTTTGAGTTCGCATTTGCGCTCCGTTCGCGTTCTGCGTTCGCTCACCGTTCAACGTTCACACATCGTTCACCAAGTTGCATTCAGCGTTCACACATCGTTCACTCACCGTTTGCTCTGCGTTCATTCACTGTTCGTTCAGCGTTCGCTCACCGTTCAAGTGGGAAAGTAGAACGTTTCAGGGACTGTACTACGGTATGTCTGTATGAGAGGGAAATACTACAGTATGTCTGTATGATAGGGTAATACTACGGTATGTCTGTATGATAGTTGTGCTTCACCTGAAAGAAAAACTTCAAAATCCTATAATGGTATACAATACGCACCCCTTTCTTGCAAAATAATATTCTAGGGAGAAAAGTGTGCATTATATTCAGCAAAATACAGTACATCAAAAGACTAACATCAGAACATATGCTAAAAATTCATGTCATCAAGTTTATTATTCCAACCTGTGCATTGAATTGTCTTACAAGATTTAACAATGAGGACCAATTTACAGTCAATTCAATCAAGTCTGAGGTATATTACAAATAATGATTTCTATTTTCTTTTGCTAATGTTTTTGATAGTTACTTAATATATTTCACCTTAATTGTAATAGAAGTAATGACATCAAGTTCCTGTGGTTTTTCACTTAAAAAATTTTATCATGGTCTGTGTAATGTTTTTAACTCTTCTGAACCAAAGCCTCAAAGAGTTGATGCTATGTCCATTTGTGTGGTGTGCGTAAACTTTTTAGAATATGGGCCATAACTGAAGAACCCCTTGGCCAATTATTGTGAAATTTGTCACAGGGTACCCTTGGCCCAAGGGCTTCCATTTATACTAAAACTATGGTTGTGACCCTTAAACAAGGGGAGATAATTAGGAAAATAGAAACAAAAGTACTGGTTGCTAAAAAATCTTCTTCTCAAGAACCACTGGGCAGATTATCACCAAACTTACACAAAAGGATGAGGATATGTTGTAGATTAAAAATTGTTCAAGGCATCACCCTAGGGCAAAGGTTGTGGTCTCAAGGTCACTTCAAAGTTGACCAAAAATTACATTTTATTAAAATGTTGATATTTTGCTTACTATAAGGACTAGGATCATCAAATCTTGTCAGTTGATGCATCTAAGGACCTCATATTATGTTGACTCAAAAGTAGGTCAAGGTGACCTACTTTTTAGCTCACCTGAGCCGAAGGCTCAAGTGAGCTTTTCTGATTGAAATTTGTCTGTTGTCTGTCGTTGTCGGTGGCAGCGTTGTAAACTTTTCACAATTTTATCTTCTTCTCCAGTACCACTGGGCCAATTTCAACCAAACTTGGCACAAAGTATCCTTGGGTAAAGGGGATTCAAGTTTGTTCAAATGGAGGGCCACATCCTTTTTCAAGGGGAGATAATTACAAATTAGTGAAAAATTAATGGCATCTTTTAAAAATCTTCTTCTCATCAACCACTAGACCAGAAAAGATGAAACTTTTGTGGAATCATCCTCAGGTAGTGTAGATTCAAATTTGTTCAAATCATTACCCCCGGGGGTAGGGTGAGGCCAAAGTGGACGATCAAAGTTTTACATATGACCATAGAGGAAAAATCTGCAAGAATCTTGTTCTCAACAACAACAAAGTTATGATTGGCCATATTTATATGGATGCATCCTCAGGTAGTGTAAATTCAAGTTTTTTCAAATTATTACCCCTGGGGGGTAGGGTGGGGCACAATGGATGAGCAAAGTTTTACATAGGAGTATATAGGAAAAATCTTCTTCTCATGAACAGCAAAGCCATGATTGGTCATTATCTATTTGGAAGCATCCTCAGGTAGTGTAGATTCAGATTTGTTCAAATCATGACCCCCAGGGATAGGGGGGACCACAATGAAAGTTAAAACTTGTAGGAAAAAAGCCACAATTCGGCAAAGAAATGTGTAAGCATCCTTAGTGTAGATTCAAGTCTGTTCAAATCACCCCCCCACCCTTTTTTAGGGGTAGGTCAGGGCCACTTATGCATTTATACTTTTTAAAAATGAACTAATTTCTGCTTTTTTTCCTAGCCACAGTGCTCAGGTGAGCGATATGCCCATGGGCCTCTTGTTAAATTTTGCGGCCATTCTTTTTCAAAATGATTTAGAGGCATATTTTGAACAATTTAAGGCCTATGATCATCAAACTTTGTCAGTTGATGTATCTTGGGTCCTCGAAGTACGTCAATTAAAAAGTAGGTCACCTTGACCTACTTTTTGAATTTTATGGCTAATCTTTTTCAACAATTAAGGTCATAAATTCAAATACTGAGAGGTTTAGAATCATTAAATCTTGTAAGATGATGCATCTTGGGGCCATAAAACCTATTTATTAAAAAGTAATTCACCATGACCTACTTTTTGAACTTTGCAAGGATTCGATTTCAAAGCGTTTAAGAGGCATAATTTGGACATTTTAAGGCATATGATCATAAAACTTGGTAAGTTGATGCATCTTGGGTCCTTGAAAAACGTCAACTGAAAAGTAGGTTTCTGTGACCTACTTTTCAATTTATATGACTATAATTAAATATTTTGAGTACTATTTGGCTTAGAATCATCAAACTTTGTCAGTTGATGCCTCTTGGGTCATCGGATTAGGTTGACTGAAAAGTAGATCACTGTGACCTACTTTTGAAAATTTATGGGTTTAATTAAATATTTCAGGTACTAATTGGCTTAGAATCATCAAACTTTGTCAGTTGATGCATCTTGGGTCCGCAGAGTTAGTCGACTGATATGGAGGTCACTGTGACCTATTTTTGAAATTTTATGGCTTTATTTAGATATATCAGGTATTTATTGGCTTAGAATCATCAAATTTTTGTCAGTTGATGCATCTTAGGTCCTCAAAGTATGTCATCTGAAAAGTAGGTCACTGTGACCTACATTTGAAATTTTATGGTTATAATATTAAGAATATTTTAGGTATTAATTGGCTTAGAATCATCAAACTTACTTGATACATCCTGGGTCCTTAGAGAATGACAAGTGATAAGTAGGTCACCATGACCTACTCTCAGGTACTAATTGGCTTAGAATCATCTTGGGTTCTCAGATTGTTTCATCTAAAATGTAGGTCATGATGACCTACCTTGGAATTTCAAGGCTTTATCTAAATATACAGGATACATAGAGGCTTCAAATAGAAGTGATAGGTTGTACAGTTTATCAGAAGAACTATTCAAGGCCCTTGGGCCTCTTGTTTTTTTTCTTTCAGGCTAAAGCCTTGTGTGAGGAGCTACCAGAATTGAATTACAATGAGTCTCTAGGTGCCATAAACCAGGACGAACTTTGGTGGGAAACTGCAGTATCTCACAAAGTCTGGGTTATTAGATTGACCTCTGCTATTTTGACCAGTGGTGCTGTCAACAATAGTCTGTTGTGTTGCCTGAAGCCCATTTGTCTTCTGAGAGTAAGTGGCCCAGGGCATGATTAAAAGATCATTGTCTGAGGAAAAACTTAATTTAGATAGGTGGAGGGGGGTCAAGAGCCCCAAAAGTTTTTGCTGTCAAACATTGATAATTATATTTATCAGATTTGAAATTATTGTTGTTTGAAACATGTACCCTCCTTTTATGAACAAACAAAAGAAACATAAGCTATTTGTAGTGTAATAAATACCTATGCCTAGTAATCAAATGAATCAACATTTTCCCATTTAGTTTTGAAAAAGGAAGGGGGGGGGGGTCCTAGATAGGAAACTATAGATCAGACATTGAACGTTTGATCTTGATACTTACCTTTGACATGTTATACTGTAAAATGTTATTAAGTGCTGCCAGCATTTACTGCATGGACAATTTGTGCTCTATTGGTCTAAAAACAGTGGAGCAAAAAATTGATCAAGTCTATGTTTGCATCTTTCTTTGGCCAATAAAGTAGCTATTTCATCTACATTTTCCCTAGTAATAACAGTTTTAGGCATTGCCTTTATAAGAGTGATAAATGGGATCAGTGTTTTATGGAGACAATGTAAATAATATTTAAAAATCTTATTTTCAGATTCATTTGTAGAAATTAAAAAAAAATGATTTAAGGATTTCATTTGAGGAGTGATATACTCATCTGGACATAACTTTGAAAACTACTGGGCAGATTATTACCGACCTTACACATAAGAATGCAAATACATTGAAGATTAAAAATTGTTCAAGGCATCACCCTTGGGCAAAGGATGTGGTCTAGAGGTCACTTTGAAATCAAACTTAAGTGATATTTTGCTAAAAAATTTTATATTTCGACTTGCTGTGAAGACCAGGATCATCAACTCTTGTCAGTTGATGCCTCTTAGGACCTCATGTATGTTGATTCAAGAGTGGGTCATGGTGACCTACATTTTGACTATTTGATGTATTCATTTTAGATTTGATTTTGATGCATATCTTTGACACTTTGAGGACTGTTGTCATCAAAACTTGTTAGTTGATGCATCATGGGGCTGTTAAGTGTGTCAACTTGAAAATATGTCACCATGACCTACTTTCTGTATTTATGATTAATGATTTTCAAAACATTTCAGTTCATTATTTTGGGTACTAAGCTATTTAGAATCTTTTAAACCTTGTATGTTAGAATAATATCTGAATAGGTAGGTTACAGTAAACTACTTTCTGATTTTTGCAGATATTCATTTATAAACCAGGCTTACAAAAGAAGTTACAGGGTTATACCGAAAGACTTAATAGAATAGAACTAAGTTGTACATTTTATCAGAAGAGTGATTCTTGGCCCTTGAACCACTTGCAAGGGTTTGATTGGGGTGGGGGTGGGGGCAAGATTTGAGCGCACTGATCAAAGTAATTGTGCTGATTGATCTGAGAACTCTAGCTCATTTAAAAGAATGGACAGTGAATGAATGCGGGTAAACGGAGAGAATAAGTGACCAAATGCTGAAATAGTTACAGAAAGAAAGTGGATGATATTGTGAGCAATTGGAAATTGTAAGCAAACAGATGATTTACAGTACACGAAAGATTTTGCTAACAAGTAAAATGGGTTAGTAAGATGTTTCAGGAACTGCAGCAGTAAACAAGTGTTTCCATTCTTATAAAGATTTTTTTTTTCAGAGCGAAGTCTGTGAATTTCTTTTACCAATACTGGTACATGATGTTTTAAGTCTGGACAATGCTGCTCACAAAGAAATTCTCTCCCAACAAATCTCTAAATTCTTCCTACAGCATTGTCGTCTGTCATCAACAAAATTACAAGGACGGCAAGGTAATGGTAAGTCATATTGGTAACAGATAATTATCTTTCCGTATTATTGGACAATTTTAAACGAAGTGAACTTGGACAACTCTTTAAGTCACCTGAGTCGCTCAGATGACCTATTGCTATCTGTATACTATTTCATCATGCATCATCTGTTAACATTTAAAGAATTTCAGCTTCTTCTCTGGAATCACTGAACCAATTTCAACCACTTTTAAATATAAATAATAGTATATATATTTTTTTTGTTAGCAGAAAGTCCCAGTATTTGTCAGAACAAGGATTCTGTCAGAACAATGCTTAGAGTTGTACATTACCTCAGACAACAACCTAGAAATCAACAGGGGTAAGTGCTCTCTTAATATACCAATGGCAGTAAGCACTTTAATTTATAATATTTAAGAATCCCCTATTGTTGTCTGTTTTTTATGTAATCAAATATACGTATCAGCTTCTTCTTCATATCTATTGTGCCAGTTTGAACCAAACATAGCATGAAGCATCCTGTGGTGTTTACTCGGATGAATGGCCTCTCCTTTAAATGGGAGATATTAGTAAAATATTGAAAATAAACGGGGTTAGGGGGAGGGACATTAACTTCTTTGTTCAAAAGGATCAAACAGATTCCCAACCAATTTACTAGGGATGTCAAATCGGTCAATTTTTGATAATCGGTTACTCGGACGTTTTTCCGATCGAGTACCCGGGTACTTGGGAAAAATGTTAATACAAGTCTGTTAATTTTGTTGAGCCCCGTTAAGCTTTGTTAAACCCAAGGCTGTTTTTTATCTTGTTTATAAATGTATATTAACATGGAGTCCAACGGAATTGATTTTTTGGTACTAAATTTATTTATCAAATAAACACAATAGACGCAATTAATACATCAAAAATTACAAATGGTTTAGTTCTTCTTCAGGATTTATTTCATCAACGCAAAAGGAGAACAATCTATCAAGCAGGCTTGTGATGATATTAGACTAGCGAAAGAGAAGGAACGGACGTTGCTGGGATTGCTAGTCTAATATTATTTCATTTGTTGGTTGTTTCCCCCATATACACTAAACTTACTACGCAAACTGACTTTCAATATTTTTTTTTAATCTTTAGTTATTTCTAAATATTTCTTCACTTTTGAAGTGGGTAGCAACATTTCTATGCATGTCCGATTTCGCTGCCTTATATTAACTAAATAATTTTAAAATGATTTGAAGATAATAGACCATATTTAAATGATGAACACTGAAAACATTCATTGAAGCCATTCAAAAACTAAGGACCACAATAGGTGAGAACAGCTGTGTACCAGGTGATTGACCACTAATTACTGTATATACACAGCCAGAGGCGAGAACGGATGTTTTACAGGTATAGGTGACGACATGCTAATTAACATATGCACATTTAAGTTATTTTTTGATAAGTTTTTGATAAATATATGTATTTTGAAATATGAAAAAATACACATCCGAGTAACCGAGTACCATTTTTAGTATTCGATATTAGGACGTTCGATCGAGTACCCGGTTAACCGGGTACTCGTTGACATCCCTACAATTTACACATAAAGCAATTCTGAGTAAAAGGAAAAAAAATAAATTCCATGGCTTCCATCTTCACAACTTCAAAAATATTCTTTACTTCGATCTGGAAATCAAGGAGATAAACTGTTTGTATGATTATACTGAGCAATGAGCCCTTTATCAGATGTGAAATTCATTGCATTGCCCTTGTTTCAGGCCCCAGGGATGGGTTAAGTTGATCATGTATTAAAATTGCACTGTTTTTTTTTTTTTAAATCTGTTTCTTTACTCTTGGACATCAGGGTGGTATGTTCACATGATAATAATAGGCTTTGTATCCTCTGAGAAAATTGTGAATTTCATGATATTAGGATTTCAGCTGGTTTATAAAGTAGCTCACAAGCTTGTTAAAAATTCATGTCACAATTAAGAGTTCTAAGTTCCAGTTCCACGTTGGTCTGTGTTGGTCATGTGATACTAGAGTTAGCAACAAGGCCCACGAACCTTTTGTTTTAGTGGAGTTTGCCCAGCAAGAATTTTAATCTAATTAAAGTAATGAACTATTGGAATTTGAGAATGTGATATTTAAGTCTTCCGTTCACAACGGAAGACTTATAGTGATTGTATTGTTTCTTTTTATTATTATTATTATTATTCCTCCCAAATTTTGTGAGCGCGATTACTCAGAGATGGTTGGATAGATTTTCACAATTTTTCACATGATAGTAGGCTGATATATGAAGTTTATATAAAATTCCGCTTTTTGAAAAATTCACTTCCGGTCCGAAGTTATGGCCGAATTTCCAATTTTAAAATGGACTTTTGTCCGGTGTTTTTCTCAGAAACGGTTTGAGGTAAAGATGTGAAATTTACAGGAATATTAGATCATGACATTCTCTTTGTTTCGAAGTTGTTTTCGTGTGTTTCCGGTACTTCCTGTCCGAACCGGAAGTGAACTTGTGTTAGGTCAATTTTTAACTTTTTTGTATTTTAATATTTTTTCAAGATATTATTATGTATAACAGAGGTTCTTCTACAAATACTAAATATATAATTTGTTTTGAAATCAGATTCCACATTTTGTAGATTTTCGGTACCGTCATTTTCCCTATATACCTAGTGTGTATACAGTGGGCAAAGAAAGATAACTCTGACTTGTAAGTGAGAATAGAACTTTCGAGATAAAGGCGGAAATAGTATCGATGACGTCAGAGACATATACACTCTCCATATCAAAATATTTAGACGTTCCATATTCAATCTTCTAAATGTAAGAGTACGTTGATTACCGCTTCCAGTGCATGTAAAGTTTGAAGTTGCCAGTGGAGTGTAAGTCTGTTTTGACAGTTAATTGATTTACACATGAATATATCTAAAACAAAAAATTAATATATATGCTAGCTATAGGTAGCTAATTCAATTAAATATATTATAAGCACTGAATATACATTTATAGTGATGGACAGGCATGCAATTTTATCTATCTCGTATACTAAGTTCAGAATACGATAGTTATAAGCTTTCTATAATGCAGACGATTTATTATTCTCTATGATTTGAATGCGAAATTATCCCGATTTCCGAGTTTTATTTCCGATATTAAAAAATATTACATACACTCAAAAAAGGAATTAAGCGATAGAAAATTGTAATACAGTACTGTTTTAAAGCCTTTATAAATAAATTGATATCTGCCACTGAAAAGAAAGAAAATCAATCTATAGATTAGATTTGGTTATTACATGTATATTTGATAAAAAGTTGAATTATTTATGACACATGATCTATACTCTATATACCCAAGGAGTTATAAAAGATGTGAAAGGCGATTCTTGGATTCTTGTGAAATACTCAAAGAGTTAAAAAAAAATATGTGAAAACGCGATTCTGTGTGAAATAATGCTTCGCTATATCTTTCTTTTGAAAAAAAAAAAACATGATAAAAAATTGCACAGGTCTGTTGATATGTGGGATGAGTATACCTGAATGAACACAATTTTATGCAATTATATATAATTATGTACATGCAACTGACCTGTACTTTTCCTTATAATTCATAAAACATAAAACTATCTAATTCCTTTGAAGCCTCCCCCCCCCCCCCCTCGGTCTTGATTAATATTTGGAGATGTTAGTGCAGCTAGGCATTTGAATTATATAATCGTTTTAGATTTAAATCTGGAACATGTGGTTATAAATACATTTACATGTATACAGAATTTCATATTCTATAATGGTAGATTTGTCATTATGATACTGAAATGTTCAATTTACGTCTGAGAGAGAGAGAGAGAGAGGAAGAGAGAGAGAGAGAGAGATTCCCTCTTAATCCCGATCCTCCTTTCCATTTACATAGACCAAAAATTAGTTCTATATCAGTGACACCCATTCTTTATTAAATGTTTTTTGATTTCATAGTCAGTCATGGTCACATCCTGTATATTTTTCTGCTTAAAAAGTATTACACGAAGTGCACGTGTGTTGACCTGTCAATCAAAATAACCTGACGCTGTATGCACTGCAAAAAAGTAGCCTGAGTTCGAAATGATCTTGAAGTATGATCTTTAAGTACATCTGATGCAACAAACTTGTGAAAAAAATAAAATAAATAAAATATCGCGGTATAATAAACTTCGATTGTGGGACGTGGAGACCGGTCCTTGGGATGAGATCGTATAAATCGAGGTCCCGTGTCGCAGAAGGTGCTGGCACAAAAAAGATTATTCACTGCTCAATGGTGATAATTGCCAAAGTATAAGTATACTCCGGCGAGCGGTGGCGTTTCCATGTGAGTGAAAACTTCTCGACAGGGACGTAAACAACATATAATAAATCAATCAATTAATCGATTGCTTAATAATTACTGTTATTGAATAATCTTTCTTATAGGTAAGTAGTATAGAGGGGGACATTATATCCAGGATTGAGGTTCAAAATTGAGGTTCAGTTTAGACCAGGAAGGTAATTAGGGAGGACCGTAACAGGAAGTCAATAAGTAGTATTAATACGAGGATTAGAATGATGAACAACGTTTCTTCGTTATTAATTTATTTCATTTGATATATGAAGATATCCAATCACAATTAGCGCGCTGTGGTTAATTAAAAGAATTGGTGATCAAAAAAATTGATTTTGATAAAGATGAACATGTAGTATAGAGTGATGCAAAATAAGCAGATATGAGGTTTGAGGTGGTGAACCCGACATAAACCCGGAAGATAATTGTGAAGGAGTATTAGTATTAACGTAATCCGGAAAATAACTTGATCCGAAAGTATTGATTAATCTTCTTGAATGACAGATTACAAGTAGAGAAAATCAAATTGTTTACTTGTAAAACAATTAAACTCAGATTCATCACACAAAAATTTAAAATACAGATACAAATTTAGAAAATGTTTAATAATGATTGTGAAGGAGTTTTGGCTTAATCCGGGAAACAACTTGATTTGTCTTTTTGAATGAGAGATTATAAGGATAGCATATAATTATTATCTGTATTATAAGAGTATATATATTTGATTTAAAAAAGAGAGGATGAAGAAACGTGTAAATTTTAGCAAACACAACTCTGTTATAAATAACCCGTATGAAGATCGACAAGGGAATGGATGTAGATGTCGTTTCAAGAGACGAATTGAAAATGCATCAGATATTATTGAATCGGTTTTTGATGAAACATCTTGAGAAAATATCTCTTAAATTTGTAAAGTGTAGTCGATCATGTTAGTTCAATTCAATGACAGCATACAATCATCGAAATCCATACTTCCGATTTGTATTATTTAATAGTCATGATTAATCTATAAAAACACAAAACTGT